GGAGGCCAGGTCCTGCAGCTCCGGGCTGGTGCTGGGTGGCGGGGACATCATGGTGCTCCTCTGGAGGCAGGGCGGGAAGCCGGCCACGAGGCAGGACCCCGGGTCGGGCGGCAGGGCCAGCTGTTGGCTGTAGCAGGGCTTCGGGAGCGGGCTCAGGCCCTGGCTCATTGGTCCGCAGGTCAGGGCCGGCTCGTAGTCATCGGTGGGCTCTGTTTTTATGGTTGGAACTGTGAGAAGAAAAAAGCGTTACATAAACACGGCTGCAGATGGGTGCGATGGGGCGGGCTGCGGCCAGGACACCCTCTGAAGACAAACAGCGTCATGACTGAGCCCTGTGTCTCCCGCCCGGTTCTCCCACCCAATTAAAAAGGAGGGCGTGAGTCATCGGCTCCGAAAGCCACAGCTGCTTCTAATACCGAGAAAACTATTTTCCTTGGAATCTCCCACGGCACTAATGTGCTATAAAAATCCATTTGCAAACGGCAGTAGAAGCCCTGGACCCGAGGGCCCATGGATTTGTAGCAATCAAAGTGAGAATGTGAACTTGGACGCACGGCTGCATCTGTGCGCTACCGCCGCCATCTGATAAGTGTCTGCGCAGGCGGTGAGCGTGAGGACAAGCATGCGGCGCACACACCCGACGGCGGCGTCAGGAGAGGAGCCGTCAGCGCCAGGAACGGAAAGGCCGCCTCTCCTTCCCACCCCTCGGCTTCCACTCCTGAAGAACAAGCCGTGATCCGCCGCCCTGGCCCGCGGGCGAGGCTCTGAGCTGCGTCGAGTGCACCCGTCTCCTCACTAGGAAGCGGACGAGGCTGAGAACAGGCTGGGATGCAGCCGAAGGCAGACGGAAGAGGAGAGGGTGCCGCAGGCCCAGGTCCTGCAGGGGGTGTCGGGGGAAGGCGCACGGTGCCCGTGTGCTGCCTCGGCTCGGCTCCGTCTCCACCCCGGGCCACTGCCCCCACGCTCATCTCCCGTGTCCTGTTTTCCCGTCGTCTTCGTTTATGCCCATTTCCAGAGACATCTCGGTGGTCGGGGTTGTTCTGAGTGACAGCGATTGCACACTTTGCCAGCACGTGCCCATGCGGCTTCAAAGACTGCAGTGTGACAAGGAGCTGTCGTTTGAGGGACACCCCTCAGTCACAGCCTGGGCCCTACGCAGGCAGCCTCCTCAAGCAACTAAAAGCGCATTTACATCTTGAGACAAAATGTATAAGGAAGGTCTTGACCCAGCAAGTGTGCTGTCTGCTCTGCCCTGTGGCCGGGTGTCCGTGGGTCCCCCAGCAGCTGGGTGAGGACATTGGGTGGGAGCTGCCTGGCGTGCCCTGGGACAGGTGTGCCCTGGGACAGGTGTGCCCTGGGGCAGGCGTCCGCTTGCTGGGCTCCTTGTCTCTCACGTGAAGGCGGCACTCAGACTAAAGGGTGAGGACAGTTGCCGGCGAGTGATCCCCTGTGAAGGTCCACACCTGAGTTTTCAGCTCCGGGGTTTCACCACGGGACAGCGTGTCCCAGCTGGACTCACATCACACATCCGCCATTAAGGTGTCCCTCTGCACACAGACCAGGGTGCGTGGATTACAGTCTGTGGACCTGGGCGGTGTGGACAGTGAGTGGAAGGCAGGGAGGATACACAGGGTCACAGCAGTTACGAGGCCTCCACCCAGCATCGCCACAACCACTGTCGGTGACTCCCAGGTGCTGTTCAGTGAAGCCGCGTGTGGCTGAGAGCTGTGAGGCCTTCAGGCTGCGTGCGAGGAGGCCACGCTGCCTCCACCCGGGGGCCTGGGCGCCCTGGCAGCCTGAGGCACGTTGGGTCCAGTTCGGCTGACCTGGCAAGTGCTGGGGGGCAGGCAAGCACAGCGGATGAACGGAGCGTGGGCAGACTTTGCGGGGTGCCCGAGGGGGCACTGGGGGGCTGTGAGCAGACACAGGTATTGAGCACAGTGCCCGGCCCGCCCCGTATCGCTCCACAGCTCCGCTCGTGGTGGGGGAGGGCTTTCCTTTGTTTCGGGAGAGCACTGCTGGTCAGGCCCCAGGACGAAGGGCAACTCTCCTCCTGTTGTCCTGCAGAGCCTGTCAGTGGCTGCAGAGGGACAAGAAGAGCTGGCTGTCCTCCGAGGTAAATGTTAATTCCTTGTCGATCACATCGGTGACACACTCACAGGCCCTGGGCCAGCCAGCCGTTGGGAGTCCTGGGAGGCAGGTGGCTCCCGAGGGTGGGTGTGTGTGTCCAGAAGAACCGCCATCCCATGATGAGGCCCAGGCGCTGAGCGTGTGCGGAACAGGACGTGTGGCTTGGTCAGGCGGCACCCTGGGTCTCCCTTAACTTCCTAATCGGCCCCCAGTGACGGGGTCCTGCTGGCGAGCACCCCAGCTGGGGCCTCCGGCCTCTGCTCCCTCTGGCCGCCTGACGCAGGCAGGCTCCCCGCCACGTGCCCGTGTCCACAGACAGGCAGGGGACGAGCTAGACCCGGGCTGCCGGGACCGCGATGACGTCCTCACAGTTAATAGAGAACAGCTGCAGCCCCAGGCTTCACACTGGAGAGTTGAGCGTGTGAAGGCGGCCTCCACTCCTCCACCTTGAGGGGCTGAGCTCCAGGCAGATGGATGGCCCGCCCAAGTGGCTGGTCCCTGCAGCCCCATGCTGGCCAGCATTACCCTCGGACAGTCCCTGGGGCCGGCTCTGTGGTCCAGGTGCAGGTCCAGGCACTGGCCCAACCAGGAACCTCCCTCCTGTTCCCAGAATGTTGTGAACCCAGAAGTGGGCCAGGAGGCAGGTCGATAGCTGCTAAACACGCCCCATGAGCAAATGCGCCCCCGGCGGGACCAGCGTCTCCTGTTCCAAAGGCGCCTGCATGAAATCGGGCGCCCAGAGCAGCAAAGGTAACAGTCCGCACGGGTTTGGTAACTTTCAGAGTTCATGGATGCCTGGCACTTAAATTAAGGGCCTTATGGGACTGTCCGGCCCCGGAGTCAGGCAGACACGAGGGCCCGTGTGTCTCTCAGGATGCGTCCCCTGAGCTCGTTAAACCTCTTACCCGCCTGCTCCGCACCACATTGAAGGTGCAGCCTGACAGGGCGGCCCGGGAAACGCCAGCAGCGTGACCTACTCGCTGTGCTGCCAAGCCAGCGATTGTGGGGGCTGGTCTGTGGCCGAGCAGGTGCCTGCAATGGGCAGGAGCAGGCTGCTGTGCCCGCTCGGTGGCCACAGTGTCACTGACCACCTGTTAAAGCCCTGGTGGCACCAGCACTGACTCCCACATCAGCCTGCTCCCAGGGCTCCTTCCGGGAAAATCCCACAGAGTTCCT